TTAAAATTATTTAAAAACCTTTTCTTTAAGTTACAGAAGTACAAGTGAGAAAATTGAAATTAACGCAATATTAAACCTTTTTAAAATTATTAACAAATTATTAAAAAAATACTATTAGTTGTGCTCCCTAAATCAGTTTTCTTTTGTAAAAATGCCTACTTCTTTTGTAAAAATGGTTAAATAAGAACAAATCCTGTCTTTTCTTCTTTTAGGTTGTTTTTCCAATCAGTTCTTTGACTAGTTTAATGGCCCTCTCTGATAAATTTATTGACCACATCAAGGAATTTAATAATAATTTCAAACTTCAGATAAAAATAGTTGAACTTCCAGAACTGTGAAGGGATCTTAAGCCACTACAACTCACTCTTTCCATGTTTAATTTTCTATTTTTAATTTTAATTTTTTTCCATGTTACATTGAAGACTAGAGATTGAAGTTCTAGAGATTGAAGTTCTTTATTAAAAAATCTAGAGATTGAAGTTCTTTATTACAACATGTTCAAGTGGATATACTTTAGGTTTTGCAGAAAGTGTATTGTACAATGCTTTGGCAATATCTTCTCTGTTGGGGCAATGTTTATCTGCTAAAGCAAGCACAACTAAGGCAGGATCAAGATACCAGCTATGTCTGCCAAATGATTTTGTTGCTGAAGTAGCTTGATGAAGATTTATGAACCTCTTCATCTCCTACAGTGTTTTCATGTCCTACAAAATATTTTAACAAAAATAGATTAACTCGTCAATCAAACAATCATCTAATCTTTTTTTAATCTGTATTCTTATTATTTTTAACCTGATATCCTGATATGGAGCAGCAGCTGCAGATACTGCTCTAAGAAACTACTGAGTTTAAAAGATGCCTGCAAACATAACCATATCACAAATCTCTATATATTGTCCTCTGATAAGTTTGGAATAATTTCCAACAGTAAATATATTTTAGGGTAATACAATGCTTTTGCCATGATTCTTGCATGATGCAACATAGTAAGAATACGAAATTTGAACTTCTCTTTTAAGAAACTGCCTTGAGCTGATTTTCTGAACAGACTTATGCGCCATTCTTGTTACAACTCTGTATTGCTTTCCATTGTTGAAAGCAGTAGTATCAAACCATATACACTGTATATGATAACTGAGGTCAAAAGATTCTATTAGATTGTAAACTGCTTTAAATTGCATTTTTCCAGCACCTGACTCAATATAATGAATGACTAGCAGCTTTCCCTGTTTACTTTCACTAGTACAGCTAATCTTTCTCTTAGAGCTGAAATGTTATCTGTATGTGCTTTAAATAACTTTCTATCAAAATGAACAGAAATTAGCTTACATGCAAATTAGTTAAGTGTTTTATACACTTTTTTTTTTTTGAGCTTCTGAAGTTATCACTTTATCTACAGCTCGAAAAGATGATGATTTAGATAAAACAAAACCATCTCCTCCTAATATAGCTATAACATTGCTTATGATAGCAGTGTGTTGGTTGACAGAAAGTCCATCTACTACGGCAGTTATCACTGTATGCTTTGGAATATCTTTAGGCAGTATTTTTTTTTTGTTTATGTGGTTATTATCACTTAGCTCAATTTTAACAGAGCCAAATCATTCTAAGCTTAAATCATCAGTAAAATCACTTTTTGAGCTATATGTAAGTCTTTTTTTTCTGAGGATTCCTATTTAGATTTTTTTTTTGTCTGCATATCTTTCAGCAGCCTTTTTCAAGCATCAGAACCTCCTAGACTACCTTGTCTTTTTCCCTCATGCATTTTCAAACACATAATGTGCATATATTTAGTTTCTTTTTCAATCCATTTCTTTTTCTTTTTCAATCCATTTCTTTTTCTTTTTCAATCCATGTTCTTTTTCAATCCATTGTTACTTTGTCAATCATGATTTTTATGTCATGTCCCAACCAAAATACCTTTTTAGATTCTATTAAAAAGATCTCTCTATCCTTGATTGCTCATGGTGTCAACTTCATTTTCAGAGAATTTTATATTTCATTATTAGAGTCTCAACTTTTTTCCTTAAAATTTTTATTAATTAGATAATTATATAATTTATTTGCATTAAGATTTGATAAATAACATAAACCGTAAAACGCATTGTATGCTATTAGTTCTGTATCTTCAAGCTCTCAGGGAGCTTTCAGCTTAGATATAATGTAGCATTTCTCATCCACTTCTGGACATTTTGGTGTAAATGTAGAACCTTTATCTGAACAACAAACTAAGTTTTTGAGAGAAACTGATGCTTTGGATTTTTATAGGTAAAGATAATACTCAATTATTTCTTCAACAGTTAAAAACTGTATAGATAATAGTGTTTTTTTATAACTAAGTATAGATAATACTAATTTTTTTTAACTAAGAGTATTTCTTTGCCTCTATATCTTATTTTACCATTAAATTTTGCCACAACTTTTTATTTTTCTTTACATTTCATTTAAATTAACTATAATAACATAAATTTAAGTAATTCTTTCCTAATTTCAAAAACAAACTTCACTGAGTATCATGCAAGAACCATTTTACTCACGATTTATCTTTGTTAAATCTTATTAAAATAACAGATGTTGAAAATTGAGCATGGTTAATACAATTAGTACAATCACACCACTGTCAAGGAAACAGGTTTGTATACAGAAATAACGAAAAACTTTACTAAATTAAAAAAAAAAATCAGTCTTTCCTTTTTTAACTATTTAAGATATATATAATTCTAATTTTTTTTTATATCAGTCATTGTGAGAATAAATAAATAAAAAAAATTTAATTTAATAATGTTGAAGGGTGGCACACATGGACTAAAAAAAAGTCAAAAAAGAGTAAAAAAAAAAAAAAGGGTCAGCACACCTTATAACTTACAATCTAGTTTGAACAAAATTTTCTAATATATATATATATATATATATATATATATATATATAAATATTGTTTTCACAAAGGGTCAGTAGACGAAGTATAACATAGAAGTTAAAACAAGCAAACATGTTTAGTTTTAATGGTCAATTGAAATCTCAGACTCATTCTCAGGCCATTTATATTATACAGGGATACCAATTATGATAATGATCCAAAATAAGTGAATTTTATCTGAGTTTAAATTCAATATTTGCTGTGAACCTTGGGATATAAAAGAAGAGAGATCATTCAAGATTAAACATTCAAAATATGAAAAAAATCAAAACTAGAAATTTATTATCAAGAAAATATTGTGGCAAGTAAAGCCACGTTACTTTAGTGATAAGATTATAAATATGATTGGTATTGCAGATAAAAAACATGGAACCTAGAATAAAACTTGTCCCAGATGTTACTAAAAATAAAGTAAAATTTGTAAATAATAACAATATTGCTGTCATTTGAAGTGGAAAGATTTAATAATGGCATTGTGAAAACTTTTGCTTACAACTGTTAACACTACAATGGTTTCCAATTGATTAAAAATGATATTGATTATCAGTACGCAATATTGACAGTAAGCAAAATATCCAAACATCAATGATCATATTTACCTTGAAAAGAATCAAATACCTTGCTAATAATAGTATATAAATTGAAAAAATAGTTAGAAGGATCAAAGGTCTGGAAAAGTAAAATCAGTCACAAAAGTAAAATAACAAACCACTAAAGAAGTTAACTTCTATGAAAGTTTATTATATATATATTAAAATAATGAAGGAAATGCTTTCATTACAACCAAAAGATGAAAAAGAAAAATTCTCAGCAAATAACTAAGTAATTCAGTTTGGAGATTTAACAAGAATATTAAGAAATATTAATGATACTATTAAAGAATTTCCAAATATTTTTGAAACGAAGCTTCTTAGATAACTTACAAATATTTTTGAAACGATGCTTCTTACATAATATACAAATATTTTTGAAACGAAGCTTTTTAGATGATATAAAAATATTTTTGAAACGAAGCTTCTTAGATAATACACAATTATTTTTGAAACCAAGCTTCTTAGATAATATACAAACATTTTTAAAACCAAGCTTCTTAGATAACTTACAAATATTTTTGAAACGAAGCTTCTTAGATAACTTACAAATATTTTTGAAACGAAGCTTCTTAGATAATATACAAACATTTTTGAAACAAAGCTTCTTAGATGATATAAAAATATTTTTGAAACGAAGCTTCTTAGATAATACACAATTATTTTTGAAACCAAGCTTCTTAGATAATATACAAACATTTTTGAAACAAAGCTTCTTAGATAATATAAAAATATTTTTGAAACGAAGCTTCTTAGATAATACACAATTATTTTTGAAACCAAGCTTCTTCAATAATATACAAATATTTTTGAAACCAAGGTTCTTAGATACAAGATTTAGTAATATGAGAATAAATAACTTTGGCTTTAGATTTTTTTTACAACAATTTCTTACATTCTATTGAAGACAAAACAAACACATTTAAATTTATCTTACAGACACCAAGTCAGGTTTGGTTTTTCAAATATGAATATTATTGGACACAAGTACAATATTATTCATAAGTACAAACTATACAATTTTTTCATCTCAATATGAATCAGACAAACTATACAATTATGTAAAATTATGTGTTAATCAAAAAACCAAGTTAAACAATAACACATAAATGCATGTATGTATGGTAGCTGTTAATCAACAATGCATTAGCAATAATAATAATACATGTTGATAAGGCAAGGACTATAATAACAAGGCCAAGAAATTAAACAAAATGAGGCCAAAAATTAAAAACTGCAAAAGCAACTTCAATGATGATAAGGTAAATTTACTACACTGAAGCGTGACTGAAATAAAAGTTTTACTTCTGATTTCCAATTCTTCATCAATATCTTATAATATCACAATATCACATCTATGAAATGCACTAAACTATAGTAATTTTATGTAAAGGTTGAACTGGTATGTGCACTGAAAGAAAAAAACCACTAAAAAAAAAATTTAGAAGTTTTTGTAACTGTATTTTAAATTAAATTAATAAAAAAAAACTAACCAAGATGTGGAAATCTAACAGCAAGATTATCATGTTGGAAAGTTGGAGCGGCACTCGAACATCAAATGAAAAATCAATGCTGTTATGATAACTTTTGTCTAATTCATCCTTTAAAAATATATAAAAAATACAATCTAATAATTCAAGTGCATTATATAAACTCACAAACAACTTGCAGCAGTTAAGCAATATTAAACAAGAAAAATTCTTTTACCCAAAAAGTTTTTTTTTTCAAATCAATTATTTAAAAAATAAATATAACTAAAAAAAAAATACAACATTTTACAAAAACACATTTAAAAAGATCAATTTAAAGTTTACTTTAAAATTAAATTATGAATAAAAGCTATATTTACAGTGACTATTGCAACAACTTTATGAATACCATTGGAATATAAAAATGGTTGCCATGGGCATGTATACAGATTTTTTTCAGATGATGTATTATTGCAAATCAGCTTATTGTTTATGTAAACTTGAACTTTGTTAATCTCATATAAATGAAAGACTAATAATCTAAAAAAATTATATTTAACTATGAATATGTGTTTAGATTAGAGATGTGAGTAATTTTTTGGTTTTTTTTTTTTTTTTTTTTTGCCAAAAAAACTTGTTTTTTTTTTTTGCTAAAAAAACCAACTGCTTTGTTTTTTGTTTTTTTTTAAAAAAAAGCTACTCTTTCTCTTATTTTAAACACTGAAATAATTTTAAAAAAATATGTTTTTAGGTGTTATTTATTAAAGAAGAATTTTCATTCTTTTATTTAACATATGATTTTATTAATATTGCCTAAAGTTCTTCAAGTAGCCACAAATTTTTTGTATGTATTTTTTTAACTAACTACTTTAACACCTTGAACATTTTTATAAATATCATCTCCATCATTTCAACAGTTTGGTTTTAGGTGATATTTATTAAAAGACTGTCATTCTCCTATTAATTAATAAATATCTCCTATAATATACCATTTATCTGTCTTGTTTTACAAGTTCTTCAAATGTTCATCAAATAAATTTAATAATTGTCCTTTAATGACTTATAATAAGCTTAAATAAAAATGAAAATATTATTTAAAGAAACATTTTTCTCATAAAACGCAAAGACATCATTAGTAAAGGAGATTTTTTTTTTATTTTTTTTTTTATGAAGATATGTTTTTTGAGTTCAAAACAAATTTTCCTTAACAAATTTTTCAACAGAATGAATGAAAATTAATTATTGTAATTTGTAGAATAAATGAGAACTTTTTAAATTTATAAATGAAGTTTTTTAATTTATAAATGAAATAACACTGCATTGCAAAATTTATATGTATTGTATTAGGTTTGCATAGTTTTCATTTTTTTATTTTGCTACCTTATTTTATGCTTTTTGTTTTTTAATCTGCAATTGCAAATAATTTAAAAATGTCAACATTTAGTTTCAGAAAATATTTTCAATCATGTTAAATAATATTGCATAAGTTTTAGTAAGTGTGTTGTAGTATTTTTAATTTTTAATTTTATACCTTTATGGTAACTGTTTTGAAACATAAGATTATTAATGATGATATACTGTTGTTTTCCAAATTTTAATGTACTATCCTAATTAGTAGTAAGTAAATTTTTAGTAATACAGATATAAACATTAGCTTTTTTAATAATATAACTGAATTAGGAAATTATATTAGAATATAGCCTTTATAATTTATTGTAAGGATTAATTAAGCAGATTTCTAATCAAAATAGTCACATCATTTAGTTGTTTGATTATAACATAGTAATGAGTAGTAATAATACAGTAGTCTGTGGTCACACTGGAAAAAGAAAACATCTGTGAGCATTTTATTCAAGCCAGCAAGCCAGGTGAGCAAAATGGAAAGTTCAATGTTCTTTTTGCAATGATGTTATGTCAAAAAGTGGAACACGAATGGACATGGATATTAAGAAATGTAGAAAATGTCCATTTGAAAGCAAATACAAATTTTTAAATGATGACACAGTCATGTTAAAAAAATCATGACAGAAACAACACAAAGTAAAACAACATGCAAATTTAAAAACTTTATTTCAAGTCAGCATTGTAATAGTACAAATGTCACAAACATTATTTCAGACCCTTTAAAACATTCAGAACCAATTTCTAAAAGTGGTAAATCCTGTTCAATGTTTGATAGCATGAAACAATGTGCAAAAGAAAAAACACTTTTTTTCTTTTGCATAGTATATTTGTTTTTATTTGTTTATCTAAGAATAATAATGTCATAGGAATCAATTGATGCACATCTATCTAGAGCTATTTACGCAAGTGGGTCAGTTTAGTTGATAATAAATACTGGAAAACCTTTTTAAATAACTTACTCCCAGCTTATTAGCTCCCATCAAGGTCCCATCAATCAAAGAATTCAATAGAATATCAAGCAATTTTAAAGAATTAATTGCAATAGTAGACTCTGTAGGATGTGTGAAATAATGAGATTTTTTTTTTAATTTTTAAATAAATTTAAAGTATTTAACTCTCTATTATTAAATATTTAAAGTTTTTAACTCTCTCCAAACTCTTAACTTAGTTCTTCACATTCAAAACTTTTTCTAATTTTATAACTAAACAGTTTGTAAAGTATTTACATGAAAGTAATAATTTTCAGGTTCATCAAGTCATTCTAGTGAATACATAGCAGATGAAATACGGTGGGTATTAGAAGAAATTAATCCTAAAATAGTTATGAGAATAGTAACAGACAATGCAGCAAACATGAAAAAGGCATGGAAACTATTAAAAACAGTTATCCTCTTCTTAATTGATATGGATGATATCCTCTTCTTAATTGCTATAGATGTATGGTCTCAATTTGCTTTTTAATGATTTTATAAAAATACCTACTCTTTGTGTGTTTATGTCACAAGCAACAAATATTGTAAAGGAAAACAAAAACTCTCACATAATAGGTGCAATATTTAAAGAAATTTAAAAATCAACAATTGATTCAAACATTTTATTAAAATTATCGGTAAAGACCAGGTAATTGTTATTATCATACAATTATAGCCTGCTGCCTTAAGGGAGTGCCGCTACATCAACTAAAGGTTTGGCATGGGCAGCAATCTTTTCTTTAATTATTCTTCATTTTTTTCTTCCCCTAAAAACACTGTATAAATAAATGTAACAAGAATAGGGTAACAACTTTTTATCTAAACACTCTATTTGATGTATGTACTGAAGTACCTCCCCCCCCCATGCTACCTATTTCAGCATGAAATCATCTGTGCACATCATGCTGCATTTATAATATGTTTTCATATATATCGTCAAGGATAGTGCAAAACTGCGTAACTAGCATTGGTTACTATAATTGAATATTAATAATTTTAACACTAAATATTTATTGTTGACATTACAAAAAACATGAATATATATATATATATATATTTTTATTTTTTTTATTTTGTAATATAAACTATAGATAAATTTTTAAAACATGTTGAACTATAATGATTGCTATTATAGTTGTCATAGTGATCACTGACATTACAACTCATTAACTCATTAATTTTGAAAAAAATTTTAAATAGGGAAGAGTGTCCATGAAAGAGACAGGCATTGAAAAAGTCGATGCAAATATTTTTATTTGGTCCAAAATAGTATTTTAATTTAAGTAGAACTGTAAATTTTTTGTGGATGATAGGTATCCTGTGTTTCCATATAAAGAGTAAAAAAAAATTATGTTTGAATGCAAATATGGTGAGTTCAATAATAGAAAGAGGGTGAGATCAACTCTAAGACTGGCTTACTTATAGACTACTAGCAATACCTTTACTATTATAATTGTAAAACTCATGATTGAAATAACTTATTATGCAAATTATATCAGGAGGTAAAAAGTAAACTATTAATAAAGATAAAATGTTCAAAAATAAAAAAAGAGAAATAACTTAAACTTGTGAGGTATCCAAAAAAAAAGCAGCAGGTAACAAAATTCAATAAAACAGCTTACACCATAGCTTTAAGCTTTATTAAAATAGTTGAAATTTTTTACGTATAATTATCTAGTAATATATAAAGTTAAAACATTCTTTCAACATATGGTTAAAAGAAACATTTAAATCTTTAGTTAGGGCGTATTTATTTTTATAAGGGGGTATTTAGTTAGGGGGTATTTATTTGATTCTGTTTAGACAGGAAAACTTGTTCAACTTTTGTATTCATAAGACAAAATATGAGATAAGTTGGTCATAAGTAATCTGTCATACATAATCTCTATAAGTAATAAAAAGTAATATTTTATAAGTAATCTATCAAACAACATTATCTCCTAAAATTCTCCTTAAATCTCTTGTAAATTTTTAATTAATCTCTTTTCAAATTTTTAATAACTCTTATTATTTTCAACTTGCTGTTATTACCTTTCTATCATTATTAAACAATCAATTCCTTTATTATAAATATCATAATATCAAATAAACAAAGCCTTAGATTGTCAAGGTTTTTGACCTAAAAGACATCTTAAATATAAAATCTTTGCTGATCAAGAAATTTTTAATTTAAGTTTTATTGTTTTATGTGATTTTTCCGTATATCAAATTGAACTTTATTTCAAGTTTATTTAGATGATAAAACTAAAAACAAAGTTTAAATTATTCAATAAAACTAAAAATAAAATTCTAGTATTGAACTTATGCTAAGATTATTAACCTAATATGCGTTGATTGAACAATTTTATGAATTGGAATTTTATTATGTATTGAAAATCTTGCATCCAGTGGATTCGTAAAGACAACCAGCGGTTCCATTGATTTTTTGAATGTGAAATCTTTGAATGTAAAAAGATCATGATCAAAAACACCAATTCGAAACCTGAACATAAAAATATCTCTTTAAAATAAAAATCTTTAAAATGAAAATAAAAGATGATCTTTTTGAACATTTTGAAAACTTTTCTATAAAAACTTATTAAGATAAATAAATATATATTGAAAAAAATCTCTCATTTAATATTTAACACAGCAATAATAGTTCAAAATAGTAATATATAAAATTATAATATATTAAACAATAATAATGTTTTTATATTAATATGATATTACTATTATATTATAACTTTATTATATTTGTGTGGGTGTGTGTGTGTGTGAGTATGTGTGTTTAATAAAACAATAAATGTAAAACTTGTTTTTCCACTTGTATGAATATTGAATTGAGTGAAAAGTGTGTATATGTGTGTGTGTGTGTGTGTGTGTGTGTGTGTGTGTGTGTGTGTGTGTGTGTGTGTGTGTGTGTGTGTGTGTGTGTGTGTGTAATAAAACAATACATGTAAACTTGTTTTTCCACTTGTATGAATATTGAATTGATATGTCTTTAATTGAATAATGTCTTTAATTGAATATTGAATTATGAATATTGAACTGATATTAAAAATTATCTTTAATATGAAGTAGCTTTATTTATATATATATATATATATATATATATATATATATATATATATATATATATATATATATATATATATATATATATATATATATATATATATATATATATCAGGGGCTATTCTAGATTGTTTTCGACAGCGTCAACTGTATTTAGGCGCAGCCCAAATTAAAAATCCAGGACCTTTTTTTTTTATGTTTTTTACTGCAAATATTGTTTTTTATGTGGATATTACACTGTATAAAGAAAGTTTACTGAAACTTAATTCACTGTAAAAAGTAGGTTTATTAAAACATATTACACTGTATAATGATTAATTTACATACACAAGCAATAAATTTAAAACATTTTCATAACATACAATAACATTTTTTGATATATTTGTTTTAACATTGTTTTACAGCTTTTAACACTTTGCAGTTGAATTAAAACCAATTTTAAGTTTCATAAGAAGATTATAGTAATTAAAACAATACTGTTAAAACTTGTTTTTCCACATGTGTGAATATTGAATTTATGTTAAAAATGAATTATCTTTAAAATAAAGTAGCTGAATTCTCTATTAAACATATTTTTTTTTAAAGTTCAAAAATGAAGAGAGTAATATACCATAAATTTGGAACACTTATCTACGAATGTTTAATCTTTCTGGACAATCAGACTAATATCATATAAGTTGTTAAATTTTAATAGATAAAGGTAACTTTCCTTTAACTAACCATTTAATTAACGCAGATCACAATGTAGCTTCCATTTTAATGAAAGTATTTAAACTAAGAAAAGATTTTTTATAAACTATATATATTATATTAACTTATTAACTTATTTTTTTGATTTTAATTTGCCTAGTATTGATTAGTTTCATAAAATTTGTCTCAAGTTAACAGGCATAATAATTTTACAAAATTTTAAAGCTTCGAAAAACAAATCATTTTTTAAAATGCAACCACAAAACAAAAACAAAAAACACAAAAAACACAAAAAATCGCAGGTGCAGATAATTTTTTTTATATGATTTAGCTCCTGAGAGCTAAGTAGTCAAGTTGACCAATAACTCATTTGGAACAAATAGATAAATTAAAAATGCAAGTGTTACAATTGGAAACTGAAATTAAGGATTTAACAAGGATCTCAAAACACAATGTAACTTATTAAGTTTTTATTTAGAAAAAGTAAATAGTAAAAAAAATTAAAAACAGCACAAAGTAGATTTCCACTTGCTTGTGCCAAGATGCAAGATTGCTAAAAGCAGATGAAAGAAAAAATATATAATTTTGTGGTTGACAAGATGGCTGAATTTGAAAAATGTTTTGTTGGCAGTTATAAAGATTTAATTGTTGTTCATTCTTATTTTTTTATTTAATTTAGACTATGAAAATATTTAGACTATGAAAATATTTAGACTATGAAAATATTTAGACTATGAAAATATTTATAATATGAAAATATTTATATATATGAAAATATTTATAATATGAAAATATTTATAATATGAAAATATTTATAATATGAAAATATAGATTCTTCTGAAGTGTTCCGTGGATTTAAGTTTAGTAAACCTGATACTGCATCAGTTAATAGACAATTAATTAAGCAATATATTTATATTAAGTTAAGTTGTAATAAACTTTATTCTAAGTTAAGTAGATGTGGTTTAAGTTAAGTAGATGTGGTCTAAGTTAAGTAGATGTGGTCTAAGTTAAGTAGATGTGGTCGAAGTTAAGTAGATGTGGTCGAAGTTAAGTAGATGTGGTCGAAGTTAAGTAGATGTGGTCGAAGTTAAGTAGATGTGGTCGAAGTTAAGTAGATGTGGTCGAAGTTAAGTAGATGTGGTCTAAGTTAAGTATATGTGGTCGAAGTTAAGTAGATGTGGTCAAAGTTAAGTAGATGTGGTCTAAGTTAAGTAGATGTGGTCTAAGTTAAGTAGATGTGGTCGAAGTTAAGTAGATGTGGTCGAAGTTAAGTAGATGTGGTCTAAGTTAAGTAGATGTGGTCGAAGTTAAGTAGATGTGGTCGAAGTTAAGTAGATGTGGTCGAAGTTAAGTAGATGTGGTCGAAGTTAAGTAGATGTGGTCGAAGTTAAGTAGATGTGGTCGAAGTTAAGTAGATGTGGTCGAAGTTAAGTAGATGTGGTCGAAGTTAAGTAGATGTGGTCGAAGTTAAGTAGATGTGGTCTAAGTTAAGTAGATGTGGTCGAAGTTAAGTAGATGTGGTCTAAGTTAAGTAGATGTGGTCGAAGTTAAGTAGATGTGGTCGAAGTTAAGTAGATGTGGTCGACGATCTAAAGTTGTTTTTATACTCCTTCAACTGTTCAGATTTTGAAAGTGATTTGTCTATGTTGTTTTGTGATGTTTTGTCTCATGAAAGTCAATATTTCATTGTTACAAATAAGTTAGGTTTTGTTGTGCAGTTAAGTGTTTCTAATGCTGTAGAGCTTCAGAGTCAATTAAGGATGCCCACTATAAGGATAATGCATGTTAGTAAAGAACATGTTACTGTCGAGTCCATGTTACTTTTATTCATCTGCGAATAAAGCACCCAAGAACTTGACAACTTATATTGAAGAAGTTTTTAACTTAATTCTTCAAATTTGAGATCATCTGAACTATGATGTTGGTTTTAGTGAGGAGGTATGGTTCCTTTTTGTTGGGGATAAGGGTGGCAGATATATGAAATTCCATTTTGAAGTTATTAATTTTGAATCATCTGATTTTGTGTTCAGATTGTCATGAGAATATTGCCCTTATTTGTTATTTAAGTGAGGTGCTAAAAGCATTGAATATTCTAATACAGCAGAAGTCTTGCACTTATTAGGTAAGCAATTTGTAGACATAACAAATCTACAGGCACAATGGATAGCCAGTAAAAAATTTTTTTTGAATTAGAACACATTTCCTAAAACTCCTGCAATAAAAAAAAATGTAAAAAATAAGAAAGCTGTTTAAGGTGTTTTGTGTTTTAACCTGTAGGTGCAATAGGTGTTTAATTAATATGACTGTAATACTGATTGGGTGCAGTGTAGCATGTGCCTAGGGTGGTTTCATCAATACTATGAAAATATTGGTGATTCGGAAAAGATTGTAATGTGTGAGATAGAGAGCTGTGTTTAGGATGTCAGAGTAAAAATATAAAAAGTCTTGATATTTATATTTCTGAAAAATTGCATTTATAAGAGCGCAATGCAAAGCTTTAGAGGTCGACTATAATCAATTCAGATAAAGTGAGAGGATCATGAAAAAAAATACAAAACTAACATAGGGGTTCATGAGAGCGCTCTACTTCAAGCTCTTTGATGATGTCAAGGTTGAGCCACAAGCTTACCATGGTAATCTATTTGTAGGTAATAACTGGAAAATAGTCTTAAGAAACCACTACAAACTTTGTAGTGTAATTGATGATGTAGCGTTTAGGTTTTTATGCATGTTTAGTATTTTTAATAACTTGCAACCAAGAGGAAATTTTAATCTGATGCTGAAATAAGCGAGCTTTTTAGTTATGTAAACTTATTTGTTAATGAGTTTCATGCTTGCTTTACACATGAAAGTATCACTTGAAAGATGGATTTTAAATGTATTATCTTTTTATTAAACAACATTTGTGGAGTGAAGAGGAGGGAGAGTGTTTGCATAACTGCATAAATAAAGAATAAGAAAGTTGCATTCAGTTAGGAATTAGGAGCAGAAGCTTCTCTTGAAACACTTTGAATTGCACAGCAAAGCTAATAGGAAACTTCAAGCTGCTAAGGTGAGAAAGTGTGTTGTGTGTTCTGAGCAAGGTGAAAACTTGTTTTATAGAAAATGCCTATTTTGTTTGTGGTCATCAAATTTGATTTAAATATAAATAGATTTTAAAACAGAAATTTAAAAAAATAAGACCAATAAAAAAATAAATTTATAACTGATTTTATAAGTTTCAAACTGATATTATTGTATGTTTGTGTTTTTTCAATTTGATTGTTTTTTTTTAAAGTTTTATAATACATATTTGTTATGTGTATTTTTTAATTTTATATGCTAATTTGATTATTGGCTTCAGATTAAGTCAACTCTAATATACTTCAACAATTTTTTTTTTTTTTTTATTATTATTTTACTTCACCTCCTCAAGGCCGAGAAGGCCACTACAAACGAGGAGGCTACTTATTTTGTGGCTATAACCCTCTCTCAACTCTATAACTCCGAAACACGAACCTTGACGAACAAGGCCGCTGCGCGGAGAAACGAGTTGAGCGCGGTACTACCAGGGACGTGGTGGGGATCGAACTCGGAACCACTCGTTTATGAAGCGAGCGCTCTACCACTACACCACTACCGCATTACCCTACAATTACCTAAGTATTTAACAATTAAGTATTTAAAAATTAGATATTTAACAATTAAGTATTGCAACAATAAGGTATTGCAACAATTAAGTATTGCAACAATTAAGTATTTAAAAATTAAGTATTTAACAATTAAAAGTATTGCAACAATTAAGTATTTAACAATTAAGTATTTAACAATTAAGTATTTAACAATTAAGTATTGCAACAATTAAGTATTGCAACAATTAAGTATTGCAACAATTAAGTATTGCAACAATTAAGTATTGCAACAATTGCATAAGTATTGCAGTTTGTTGCTGTTAAATCAGAGGAAACAAAAGCATTGCAGCAAAGAATAAGAAAAAGTTTCTTTTAAAAATATTTTTTAAATTAAAGAACTTGTAATTATTAAATCCACTAAAAATTAAAGAACTTGTAATTATGAAAATCCACTAAAATTCTTTTTGTTTAATTAGTTAACTAGTTATTTTTTTAATTTTATTTAAAACATCTAGAATATGCTTTTTTTGACATTTTTGTCTGACTATTATTTCCTGAATCTGTTCACATTAGGTTAGGTTTAAGAGATATAACATTTGTTTTAAGAGTTTTTTTGGCTTTTAAATTAATCTTAAAATGTTTTTATTAAAAAACTTATATAAAAAATATATGTTTTCAGATTATTTTTGATAAAAAGTAGAATATATTAAAATTCTGCTTGAATATTCAAATTTGCATGTGTATATGAAATTCTGGAAAGGTTAAACTATTTTTTTAAACACCAAAAGCTGACAAAATATATTATCTCTAATATTTTAAAAGTTACCTAAGTTTTAGTGTCACCCAATTAGTTTAAAAAATAAACAAGAAACCATATGTCCACTATGAAACATCCATGGTTGGTTAAGAGGTGTAAGATATGACAAAACCTGGTTAGTTTGATGCAGTGACATTTTTTAGATTGGTTTGAGAGTTTTTTTCCACATACTAAGCAGCTTCCTACTGGTAAATTTGTAATTATAGGTGATAATCTAGTTAGTTATTTTACCAAAAGAGCTATAAACTTAGCACTGGAAAATAATATTGCTTTTGTATACCTTCCTAAAAATTCAACCAATATATATGTCAGCCACTAGATGTTGCATTTTACAGACCATTAAAAATGAAACAAAGATCAATACTAGATAAATAAAAAAAAGTTCTAAAATGAGTACTATAATAACCAAAAACAAGTTTCCTTCATTGTTGAAAAAAAAATATGTTTAAAGTATGAGGACAAGATAAAAAAAACTTTTTCTCAAAATTTAGTTTAAAAAATGTTGAATTGGCCGCTGGACAGAAACGGAAGTTTTTAAATATATACCAAATGCATCACACTTCCTGGAGAATTTGATTCTTAATCAAGTACAAAAGAAAAATCTGAATCTAAACATTCTGTTATTAATGTGCTTGAGAATATGAAATTTGGAAAAAATGAAGACATAATATGACCAGGTTGTAAACCTTAGCAATTCAAACTCAATGTTGAATCAGGAAAAAGTGAAGATAAGTATGACTATACTACTACCAATAAACTTTGAAACATAATAAAGACTTAGCAAAGCCAAATGACAACCAAAACTGAAACTAACAAAGTTATGGCAACAAAGCAAAACATAAAGAAAACTTGTCATAAAACTAAAAAAACAAAGCTGTAAATTACAATTGCTCATTTTCCGACCCTCTGCCCATAAATATCAAATGCATATTAGACATTTGAATACAACGGAATATTTTCTAAACTTCTCCTAACATACAAGAATGCAACTTTTCTAGTTTTATTTTTCTAAAAAAGATTTTCCAAAAGAAATTCTAAAAAGTCTAAAAAAATTGTTTTTTTTAAACAACCTTCTATTTATTTTCCAATCACCTAGTTCCAATTCCATAAAACCTTCTTTATGAACCACATACATCTGTGGAAAAAAACCAAGAAGAGTATGCAAATGACCACATAAATACGCAACACCAGTCCTAAAAAACATATAGACTATTATACTTTTTTAAGATAATAAAAAAATATATAAATCAACTTTTGTCTCATAATTGCTGCTTACAACAGTAGCTTTCGCAAATCATGTGGAGAAGTTGTTACTGATAGTGGATAATGACCAAACCATATTGTTGCATTCAAAGTTGTCATTAAAGAAATTTCATAGATGTTCGCCAATAGATCCTAAAAAAGAATCCAACATAAATAAATTTTGATTTTCATTAACAATATCATTATTATTATAATGATGATGATGATTATCACAACAAACATTGCCACTATTGTTAAAAACTTTTTTAACAATAATTAAAAACTAAACAAAGTAAAAACCTTGTTTAAAACAGCAAAAAAATTAAATGGTCGTCCAGGACCAGGATTAGGGGCAATATCAATTCCATTAAAAGCATACAATCCAAATGATGTTTTATGTATATACTGGTAGACACTTTTGTTGTACATATTTCTGCTTCCAGCATATTTATTAAAAAGATTACGAGCATCATACTGAGATGCCACATTAAATGTATCTAAAATATTTCAAATTTTTAATTAAAAAATCTATTAAACTAGTGATCATTTGATTTTTTACTTACTAATTACTTTCAAGAAAGTTCATATCTTTCCTAAAAGTAGTCTGGTGAACACTTTTACAAAACTGTGACAGAAATGTTAACTTAACCGCAAACTATTGAAATTCTAAATGAGAAATAAATATAGTCAGAGTTGTTTTTTATCTGAAAAAGTGTAGTCATTAGAATCAAGAAAAAAGTTTTCAATGCCTAATTGATTCCAATAAATTATTCATAAAACCCAAGAGTTAGAAAAATAGACATAAGACATCAACACAGAGATGTTCACGAAAAGATGTTCTGCTATTCTTAAGCTGATGTAAAAGTAGGAATATATTCAAAAATTAAACTTTTAATGCCTATTGATACTGCTAATTTTTGTTTGCTGCTATACATGCTGATTAGAATACATGTTGAACCTTTTAATGCCCTTTTATGTTAATTATATAAATTTGTTCAACTTATCAAGATAAGGGAGAAATTTTTATATTAAAATTTAAAATTTGAGAAAACAATTTTTCTCGATCAAAATAAATAAAATTTAGTGGTTTAATAAAAGATAAACATTAATAAATGTTTAACTTTAAAAAATGCATTTAGCTTTGTATTTCAGATAATCCTAGTGCATAATAAAATCAAACAAAAATATTACGCTATACTATTAATTATCATTCTTTATATTTTAATTTGGAAATAATATTAAATCATTTTGTTACAGTAGTAGTCAGTAAAATAATTATTTATAAAATTCAAGAAATTTCATTTATAAATTCAGAAAATAATGTTATTGTAACCAATAAATTAATCGTAAAGCTATTTGTTGCATGTTATGTGAATTAGTATCCATCTGTATTATATAGGTAAACATATTAAGCTTAAAGAGTAAAAACTATACACTTACCATGGTTTCCACGTATATCCAACCATTTTGATGTATATTGTTTGCATGTATTTAGAACTGATGAATAAGCAATCCATTCATCTTCATATTGCATTGAACCATATTGCCTGAAATCTTTTGCATCTGTTAAATCTCCTAGTTTTAAATAAACCTATCCATTTTTAATTTTGTTTTTACCCACATTCATTGATATTTGTTTTAATTGGTTTTGAACGTTTTAGATATATTCAAATTAACAAAATCTAACAACCAAAGTTAAATACAAAACTACCTGTTACAATAACTACATCTGGATAAATAAGAGAGAGATAATCCAAACAAAATGATCTCAAATCTTCTACTTGGTCATATGAACGAAATTTGCTAATGTGAATATCAGAAATCTATTTAAATCAAAAAATAAATTGTAACACATATAAATATAATATATTTTGTTATATGATATAAACACAGGCCCGTAGCGGGGAAAAGGAGGCGGTGGCAGCAGAGCATCCCCCCCCCCCAAATTGTTTTTACAAAAATAAATAATTTTGAAAAAAATTACCGAAAAAATGACTTAAAATAATTTCGGGGCCCCTTAATCCAGCACTGCTCCCCCAATAAAATTTTAGTTCCTACAGGCCTGAAACATACACAATTATTTTTGAAAATTCTTTTTTTAAATTACATAGAAATACATTACCTGAACAAACCAAAACATATTTGCATTTACATCTGTAATTTGCAAGGACGAACTTAACTTATTTTCAAAACCATCTGATAAATCTTCTGCATTATTGTTGAAGCATATTTGCAATACAGCACCAATCCCCCATGAAACACAAAAAACAAATACAACTGATAATAAAGGAAAGAAAGCACAAAGGATATTTTTCATAGAATATTTTCTCATTTTAAATTTTTATTTTAATTTTAAACACTTCACTGAAAAGTAAATCATTTTTTTTATTATTACACAAAGATAGAGTATGCTAATGCACATATATAGAGTATACATATACTAATTTCAGTTCAAATATTTTTTGAAAAATGACAAACTTATATGGAATAACCTGTATATATAGGTCACTCCATATAAGATTGGTTTGTTTATATCACTATCTCAACTTTTTATTGGTATGTTATAACTAACATAATAAAAAATTGAGGTAAATATTAATTTCAACTAAATTGCTTTTGGCTAAATAATTTCTAATTGGAAAAAAATAATAAAAAAAATAAGGTTGTATAAAAAAACTGCATTTGCTATAACATTTGTTATAATTTGTTAGTGAGAATAAAAATGTTTTTTTTATTATTCTTAATATAATTATATTAAAATTATTTTTTTCTTAAGCTGAATGACAATATTACTTTTTTAAATTGTTTATTTGTATGGGATTATCTTTATGATAAACTTCCATTATCCTTGAAGAACATTTTCCTTCAAATGGCTAACAAATATTCTCACTTCCTAAGATCCTTTTCATGCAACAATATCTTTGTAGAACATATTAGGTCAATAAAATTTGGCAGCAAATCAAATAAACATCACTGCACTAATGCTTGGAACAATCTCCCTCATTCTTTTAAAACTGAAAACTCCATTTCCTAATATATTTTTCTCAACAAATTAAAAAAACACTATTTGGATAGCTACTAGAACAATAATATCAATAAAAGCAATATATCAATGTTAATATTCTTATTGAAAATACTCTCTCATGCACATACATATTTTTTTATTTTATACTTTTTTTTTTAAAGAATTTCTACATTTATCTACAGCTTTTTTGCCGACTTTTTACAATGATTGAATGTGTATCTGTGTAAGCATGTGTATATGTATGCATATATGTATATGTGTATATCAGTCTATGTGTGTTAATAAGTGTGAATAGGTATGTGTGTATGTGTATGTATATGTATGTATGTGTGTATGTATATATATATATACATACACACATACATACGTATATGTATGTGTGTGTGTATGTATGCATATATATATATATATATATATATATATATATATATATATATATATATATATATATATATATATATATATATATTATATATATATATATATATATATATATATATTATATATATATATATATATATATATATTTATATATATATATATTATATATATATATATATATATATACATATATATATATATATATATATATATATATATATATATATATATATATATATATATATATATATATATATATATATATGTTTGTATGTATGTATATATGTATGTATGGGGCTGTCTATAATTGATCTCAACGATTTTTCTGAATATCTCAACCCCCACCTCCCTTTTTCAAACTCAATTTTTGGCTGACCCCCTTATATATGATGTCAGTTTTTGTACCCCCTTCCCAAGAGTAACATTAAAGATATGTTAAAAATATATGTAAAATATGTGTAAACACAATTGGTTTTATTACTGGTTAAACTATGCATTTATATAGTAGCAGACCTCAGCAAGTTATATTATAGAACAGTTGATACCTTATCAAATAATAAAGAAACTTTGCAAAATTTTACTCTATATCTATAATATAAATTCAATCACTCATTATCTTCGCATGAGTTGTTGAAGTGATTTTTGATAATAATGACAATTGTACTTTAAAAAATGACAAATGACTTTATGTGTTTGCTTTGAAGCACATTTTATAATCTGCTAGGGATTGAATAACGATTGTTAAATTTTTATACAAATTGTTGATATGTGTAAACAATTAGATTTTCAGTGAAATATTAATACAATAAAAAAACCAAAGTTGGTAAACTTTTAATCTACCGTAAAACGGGGTGAATAGAAACAGTGAGGTGAATAGAAACGAAACTTCATTTATATATATATATAATCTAATTTTTACATAACTATGGTTAAATAGTAGCAAACATTTATTTTTTGGTTGCTACACTTTAACCTGAAAGTGAAATAATAGTTTGCTTGGTTGGCAGCACTGGTTCTTGTTTGTTTTTTGTGTTGAATTTTACCGAATTCTTGTGTTAATTAATTTGTGTTAATTGCGCCTTCTTCTTGTGTTAATTGTGTTACCGCGCTTCCGCGCTACCACGTTCTTTTTGTGTTAATTGTGCAACCGTCACCGCCTACAATTGTGCTACCGCCTACCGCCTACAATTGTGCTACCGCGCTACCGCCTTCTTCTTGTGTTAATTGTGTTACCGCGCTTCCGCGCTACCGCGTTCTTGAGTTAATTGTGTTAACCAACATTCTTGTGTTAATTGTGTTACCGCGCGATTCTTGTGTTTTAATCTACTTTGAGCTTTCCAGGTAAGTCGGAATACTTTGTGTTCTTGAAAGTAAATAGCTGTGCAAAACATAGTTTCATTATCCATATAAAAGATTTAGGCTAACTTTAAGCTTTGACTTTAACAATATTGTTTCAATAACTATTCTTATTTTTTAAGTTAGGTTTTCTGAATTTACGGGTTGAATAGAAATACATAATTTATATTGTTTCTATACACACCACAAAAAAAATTTAATACAAAATTACATTTATACTGTATAAAATACATACTGTGTGCTATATATTTATGTTAGACACTTAACTGGCACAGTTATTTTGTTTCAGGACCCTATAAAATGCCAAGACACTACAAACTGGTTGTTACAGAAGGCTACAAAAAGCACAATCCAAAAAAAATTAAAAAGGCAGTTTCTGACATACAGAAGGGTCTCAGTCTTAGAAAGTCTGCTTTAAAACATGGTTTACATTATAGCATTATATATCGACACAAAAGGTCCTAATATAAAGAAACACTGTGGTCAGACAGCTTTATCTCTCGAAGAAGAACAACTGTTTGTTGAAAGGCTAAAGATATGTGGCGAATGGGGCTATCCTATTGACACTACAACTCTACGACTTCTTATAAAATACTTCTTAGACCGAATAGGGAAAAAAGTTAACAGGTTTAAACATAACCTTCCAGGCCGTGACTTTATTGAAACATTTTTAAAACGTCATAAGGATCAACTGGCCGTGAGAATGTGTCAAAATATTAAACAATCGAGAGCTGGTGTGACATCAGATACAATTAACAGCTATTTTGATGAACTTTCAAATGAATTACAGGATGCGTCTTTATCTAATATTGTTAACTACGATGAGACGAATCTAAGTGATGACCCTGGTAAACGAAAGGTCATTACACGTAGAGGGACATAATATCCAGAAAGAATCATAAAAGCTGGACAGAGGGTGGGCCAAAAAATGCCAGGTACAATCGAACAAAGTCTGGCTGGTTTGATTTCTTTTGCTTTGATAATTGGATACTGACAGTTGCTCTTTCATACCTGAAAAAATAAACAGGTCGAAAATTTCTGATTGGGGACAATTAGACTTTTTTGACAATTTGACAATTTGTCGTCCCATTTATCATTAAAATCTGTGAAGTTATGTAAAGACAATAATATCAGTTTTATTTTTCTCCCAGCTGACTCCACCCATCTGACACAAGCTCTGGACATGGCATTTTTTCGGCCATTAAAATCCACATGGCGACAGATTATCAAAGAGTGGAAAAAAGGTCTAGGAAGAGCGGAAGCAACCGTTCCTAAGAATAAATTTCCAACGTTGTTAAAAAAGTTGTGTGGTTCATTGAAGGAAGAAAATATGATCGTTGGTTCTAAGAAATGTGGTATAGCACCTTTATCAGAAACAAAGTCCTCTCTATGCTTCCACAAATTATCGATGAAGAGGAAAACCAGGATCCTGAAAATAACAAATGAAGCGGTTGACAATAGTTTCAAAGAACTCCTTCAGAGTCTGAGACAAGATCAGACTCCTAAGATAAGCAAAAAAAGAACCAAAGTTAATGTGATAATAGGATTTACTGACATCATTTATGGATGGCCCCTATGTATGTATGTATGTATGTATGTATGTATGTATGTATGTATGTATGTATGTATGTATGTATGTATGTATGTATGTATGTATGTATGTATGTATGTATGTATGTATGTATGTATGTATCATACATGCATACATACGTACATACATACATACATACATACATGTATGTATGTATGTATGTATGTATGTATGTATGTATGTATGTATGTATGTATGTATGTATGTATGTATGTATGTATGTATGTATGTATCATACATGCATACATACGTACATACATACATACATACATACATACATACATACATACATACATACATACATACATACATACATACATACATACATACATACATACATACATACATACATACATACATACACTGTAAAAAACCTTGTGTTGAAAATCAACACTTGATCTTGTGTTGCTTCCGTTAAACACAAGTTTGTGTTAAATTATAAAAATATCATTCAAAAGCGCATGCGTTACCTGCAAACAAAAATTATTTGTTATTTTTTTGCTAACACAAGACTTGTGTAGAGGAATTCTCAAGATACGCATGCGTAACACCTCATGGAATTTGTACTATTTCAAATAGATTTTTAAAAATTTTAAAACAGCTTTTTTGAATCAAAATTAATAATTTTTAGTTTGTAGTTAATTACTCAAATTTTTTTCATCACTGTTAAGTATTAACAATGGGTTATTTTTGTGTTTTTTGTGAGTCTATTTTAGTATCATTGAAGACTTTAAGTGATCTTTCAAAACATTTTCATTATCGCCATGGTATTACTTCAACACAAAATTGTAAAATTTCTTTTAGACAAGGTGGCTGTTGCAGAACATATGACAGTGTCCATTCCCTTTAAATTCATTTATATCGAAAGCATCCAATTGACCCTCATTTGGAATATAACGATATAAATATTTCCCCTATGGAAAGCAATGGTGAGCTAATGGATCAGCTAGGTATTTATACAGCAGCACATATTGATAAAGATAACAGAAATACTATTTTTTCAAGTGAATTAAATGGGGAAAAGATAA